TTGCGATTCTGGAAGGATTTTTTCTATATATGGGTGCAGGCGGTTTGACATTATTTTTGCAAGAATTTTTCCGCCGATAGCCAATAGCGAAATTCCCCGGTAATTTCCGCAGTCTGATGCACTTCCTTTGTTCTTAAATATATTCACTATATTCGCGTTGCGAAAATCGTGAGGTACCTCTCCGCTTTCCCATACGACATCAAAGAGAGCCTTAAGATGATCCATAATTTCTTTACTTGCACACTTATAGATTTCCGCCGGAATCGCGTCACAGCCAGCTGATTTGTTGCTGTTTTATGGAGGTCTTTATTTCTTGTTCTGTTATTGGGATGTCTAATACATCGAGGCTGTTATACTGAGGTATTGTGTTTAGTGCTTCCATATTGGGGTTGTTTTCTTGGTTAAGGATATGGCTGTAATGTTCTTTCCAGTGATTTCTGATTTGTTCTTCCTCTTTTAGAAGTTCGCCATTTTGAGCCATGATTGGGCAGCTTACCTTCTTAGTTGGACCGTATACTTCTTTTACAGCCTCGAAGAATTTACGATAATCGTGATGAGTGGCGTACTCTTGAATCTGATTCGCTTTTTGTGACCACCAGTTATCCTTTACTTGGCGCAGTTCTCTTCGAAGGGTGTTGTTGGCTGCTTTAAAGTTATCTACCAGTCTTGGATTAAGTGGATTTGCAGTGACGGCTTGATGTGCTCTATGCTTTTGTTCCAAAAAAGCCTGTATATGCTGTTGATTTTCGTCAAACCAGTCTGGTTGTTTCTTTTTGTTCGACTTTCCCAGTACTGCTTCGCTGGTTTTATGAATCGCATCCCTTAATTGTGTCCAGTCTTGTTCAGCTTCCAATATTGAGATTGAAGTTATCGGTGGAAGTGATTCTTTGATGGCTTCCCGGAGGGCGTCGGCGGTATTCTTGTTCTCTAGATCCCGTACGTTCAATCTGGTCATGTTGTTTTGCTTTTTACAGCGTGGATGTTTGGGTTTTAACTGGATTTTCATTTTTGAAATTAAAAGTCGGTGGTCAGTGCCGCATTCGGCATCTATTCTAGCTTTTGTGAGCCTAACATCTTTTAGATGCATCCTTCGAACGATTATGTGGTCCAATTGATGCCAGTGGCCTGATCTAGGATGTTTCCAGGTATCTTTAAACTTGTTCATCAACATGAACCACGTATTGGTGATGCAAAGATTATACTCTGCGCATGTTGTTAATAAGCGTTCACCATTGCTATTTGCGTTTTCCATTGTTTTCCCAATACGTCAGGCCATATTTCCTGTTGTTTGCCTACACGGGCATTAAAGTCACCTAGCAAGATGATTCGTTCGTGCTTTGGAATTCGTTGAAAGGCATTTTGTAATGCTTGGTAAAATTTATCCTTATCTTCAATTTTAGCGTCAAGGGTGGGAGCGTAGGCACTAATGTTGTTGACGTAAGTTTTGTCTGATATGGGGTACCTTAGGGTCATAAGACGTTCGGAGACACCAATAGGTACTTCTGTTAACTTGGTGGCGATTTCGTTTTTGATCGCAATGCCTACACCATGAATTCTCCTGTGTGTTGCGGGGTGACCTTTCCAAAAGAAGGTGTAATGCTCCTCAGTGAGACTACCTTCATCTGCAAAGCGTGTTTCGCTTAGAGCGGCAACATCTATATTTAATCGGTGGAGTTCCTGTGAGACCAGTGCTGTTCTTCTCTCTGGTCGATTTGAATTTATCTTGTCCAGTAGAGTGCGGACGTTCCACGCCGCGAACGTGAAACATTGATGTTTTTTGTTTCTCCGATGATACGCTCGAGTAGGCACCCCCTCCCGGAGATCCGATTGAGGGGGTATTTTACCTCGGACGATAATTTTGTCCCACTCAGAATGTTCCATCATTGCTGTGTGTAAGCTGCGTGAAAAGGTTTAACTGTGGCGGTTACGCTGCCGCACAGTTTTGGCTGCAACTGTAGCACGGGATGGCTATGGCACAGTGAGGACTGCGACGATAGTTCCCTTGTGCTACGTTCTCGGCCGGCTAGGTGTATTTTATTACTCCTTTTCCCCAGAAGATGGTAGGTTTGAGGGTTGTATAAGGTTATACCGCCTATACTCGGACGTCAGAGCCTCGTTTGTGTAAACAGGGTGCACCACGTGAAGGTGAGGTTGACTTTTGGGTAAGCTAGGCTATATGTATCGCTTCAATACCCCTTGCACCCCTAAAAGCTATACAGGGTGAGACAAAATTAATATTTAACATTGGTCACTTTTAAAAGCAGGTTACTTCTTTATTTTAAATGGAACACCCAGTTCGATATTCAATGAAGAATTCTTAGACAAATATTTTTCTAGATATCTTCATTTTTATGATTCTACGTCAGTAGATCTTTATTATTAGATAAAATCTAGGTGGCTGTAATATATATTTTGCTAATTTAACAAAAAATAAAGGATGTAGAGTAAAATATTCTACGGTTTAGGAGTACGGTAGTTAACGAGTACCTGGATGAGGTTGGACTACGAAGAATGGAATGGCCTCCTTGCAGTCCCAACCTCAATCCAATCTAACATTTGTGCAATGAATTTGAAAGAGCTGTTCGTCGTCGGCCTATTCCACCACAAACTTTAGAAGATCTATGGCTAGCATTAACGGAGATTCCTCCTAATACTATCCTTAAAAGGGGTTTTTTGATCTATAGCTTCATATTCATCAAGCTATATATCGAGAAAAAATAACTACCCTTATTCATTCGATACGACGAAGACCGACGTAGCTGTTATTGGTGGACATACACGCTATTAAAATTAATTATTATAAAATTATTGTTTTTGTCAATAAAAGAATAATCTATGAAATTAATACTTTCCTTAAAAATATGTAGCTCATAAAATAATAGTGCTAATGGGATAATTCAAAAAACGAAATGTTAGAAATACATCTAAGATTACAGAAAAGCGTTTTTTACCCAAAATGCCCGGGTGGTTGGGTTTCCACAGGGCGTTTTAATTTTATTGCTAAAACAACGTTTTGATTTACCCCGATATAAGCCCACCTAACCGAAAAATATAAGCCATTAAAATAATAAAAAATAATGCCAATAAATTTATCTTCACACTGATCACATAATCATTAAAATCGGACTACAAAATAAAGAGTTATGAAACATCAAACTTAGTCAAATTTAAGGGTGGCGGAATTTTGTGCCGGGGAGTATAGAATGATCTCATTAAAAATAGTTTCACAATACAACATTATGTTTTGGTATCAGTAGTTTTAAAAGAAAATAAAAATAATATATTTTAGTTTAAAAATGGTCATCTTTTAAAAATCATATTATTCATAGTTATTCTTGAAATGAGAAGTATGTGGAAATTGAGTGAGTGACAAGAATACAATATTTAGTTATTTAAAATCTTCATTTTCAATACAATAACAACAATAATAACAAGTAAATATACACGGTCGCTTTTATGTATGAAAACGGTCGATTATTGGGCAAAATATAGGAGATACCGCAAAAAGTTAAATACAAAAGTTATAGGATTTTCAAATATGTAATAGTGAGTAATAAATTTAAGTATACAGGGTCGTTCATAAAGTCGTGGGACATCAAAGTTTCATTTTTTTAAAATTGAACCCCCTGTATATTATTACATATTTCAATTCTTCCTTCAATTCTAAACAAAAATCAAAATACAGAATGTACTTCAAAGCAACCGTTTCCGAGTTAATGACTTTTGAAAATATCTCTTTAACAATTTGATTTAATTAATTTCGTTGTGTTTGGTTTGATTTAATGATGCCATTCTGCCGAAACTGTGATACTGTTGTAATTGGTTTTTAAATTCCTGTTAGCTACTAGTAAATTTAAGTATACAATCGGTCATAAAGTTGTGTCACATCAAATTTTATTTTTTTTAATGAAACCCCCTGTATATTATTGCATATTTCAATTCTTCCTTCAATTTTAAATAATAATCGTAATAGACAATGTACATAAATTAAAGAATTGAAATGTTAAACGAAAATTTTGTAATTTCCAGACTTGCTATACTCTCATTTTATACATAATGCTAACTTGAGAACTAATGTCAAATATTATTAAGTATCACAGTTTTGGCAAAATGGCATCGTTAAATGAAACTGAACATATCGAAATTAATAAAATTAAATTGTTTAAGTGATATTTTCAAAAGTAAATAACTCGGAATCAGTTGGTATGAGGTACATTGTATGTATTTCGATTTTTGCTTAGAATTGAAGAAAGAACCGAAATATGCAATAATATACAGGGGGTTCCATTTAAAAAAATGAAACTTTGATGTACCACGACTTTATGATCAACCCTGTATACTTAAATTTATTACCCGCTAATAGATATTTATAAACCCTATAACTTTTATATTTAACATTTTGCTGTACCTCCTATATTTTACCTAATAATCGACCGTTTCCATACATAAAAGCGACCCCGTATATTTCAGTCACACTATATATTTTTGCACACTGCCCGTGTGTTTAAAAAAAATGATTGCAGTTAAAAATGTCAAGCAAGGATCCTTAATATGAAACTTTTTTTATCACCCGGTATGATCTGGAAAGATATTAATATATGATTTAACCTAAGTAAATAACTTGGTTATAAATATAAAACAACTATTTGAAGTTAAATAAACTAGCAGAACGCTATAATTATAAACTACGAAATATCAACTTATTTATGTGCGTTTTTAATTGTATCCTGTAACAACTCATAACTTAACTAATTTCCTTCGTTCCAGAGCATATTTAGACTGTTTCTATTCGGTATTATATTTATATACGCATATACTTTAGCGTAATCTCGATAAGTGTAGTGAAAATTCTTCAGTTATCTTTTTAGGTATCAGTGAATAAAATGATAATGTTCATTGATTCGTTAAAACATAATTAGCTTTAATTCGTTGGTGTGTAAAATAGCACGAGCTGTCAGCATATTGGTGTTCTCTTTTTTAACAAAAAATACTTCTTTTAAGTTACAGATCTGAAAAATGAAAATATTAGCTCGATTAGTAAGTCTGCCTAACTTAATTATATTGGCTGTAATATTAACTTTGTTAATATGCTTTAACGTGATAAAGCAAACAATAATCGAGCCAGATGGGTACGAATATATTAATCTAACAAAGCTAGATCGGAATATAATTATTATAAAGGTAAGCAAATAGTAAATATACGTATCTATAAGTAATCCTGTACGAGTACCTTTTGTCAAATGCCAAAAGCTTCTGTCAAAATAAATACTCAAAAGTCCATTCCCCCCACCCCATTTCATGTTAACGTTATTAAAAAACCCTTGAATATGACTCCATCTCTTCTACGGGGTGTTTCAAAAAGCATGTGCCATCTCTCGTGGGGAGATTCCTCACGTAAAAATAAGATGTATTTTTCATATCAATATAGGCCCGATTTTGCTTCGTTTCGTAGCTACAGGGTGTTAAAGTCTTAATAATCTTTCGGTTTATTATAATTTTCTTCCAAGTATTTTGAGCATTTCGAATTAAATTTTGAGGGTAAAAGTTACTATGTGTAAATGCGACATATTTTAAGGCTAAAAAACTGTCGCCATATTCACCAGAGACGTGCATATGGGTTATCACTAGAATATTTTTCTAAAAGAAGCATGTATGCCACTGACTTTTTTTTTTCTTTTGTTAGCGAAATAGTGTAAGCTGTTTAATGCCGATTAAAAATTGTCTCTTGATATTTTGTCAATTTCGGCCTCCTTGATGAGATAAACGCAATTTTATTAGTTTGCCTTGATCCAGGTCAAATAGAAACCTTAAAAAAATATTATCATTAACTTGAGAAAGTTTTAAATAAGTAATCATTGATTCCTCATCAAAAAAATATGAAAAAAAGTTCCTAGAAACATGGGTATGGGAATGCATAGTTTAAGCCCGCGGTTGCATTGGACGCGGGTCCGTGCGTTTTTTAAACGTGCGAGCTCTGACGGAATTTACTCGCACGACTATTTTATTTTAGTGGTTACATTAGATGCGCGTTCGTGGTGTCCTGTGTGTCGAGTTTGTCAAAACGGACGCCACTACTTTGATGCTGTCTGAGGATTTATTGTTAAAATAACTACTTATGAACAGAAGAAAATGTTAGGTAAATGATTTATATGCAAGAAAAAACGAAGAAAATTAATATGTAAAATATTTGGTGAATTAAAACAGCAACCGGTCAAATTTTTTGAATATTTTACAATGTTTCCAGCAACATCAATATATCTAAAATAAAAATAAACCTGGTATTCAAAAATATTCAAATTTTTCGGGAATGTATTGGGCCCAGATATGTAAAAATTCGAACGCCCGGACGTGCACGTATTATAAAAATAAAACCAGTTTGTTTTCATCCGACCAACGGAAATTGACGTACGTGCACGGACGCGCAAACTCCGATGCAATGTAACCGCCTGCGTAGATACCATTTGTTTGTTTTTTGCTGCGTGCACGTCCGAGCACGTACGACTAAAAAAACGCACGGACACGCATCCAATGTAACCACGGGCTTAGCGTCCGTGCACATACGTCAATTTCCGTTGGTCGGATGAAAACAAACTGGTTTGTTTTTTTAATACGTGCACGTCCGAGCGTTCGAATTTTTATATCTCTGGGCCCAATACATTCCCTAAAAATTTAAATATTTTTGAATACCAAGGTTTATTTTTATTTTAGATATATTAATGTTGCTGGAAACATTCTAAAATATTCAAAAAATTTGACCGGTTGTTGTTTTAATTCACCAAAAATTTTACATATTCATTTTCTTTCCCTTTTCTTGCATATAAATCATTCACCTATTATTCTCTTCTGTTCATAAGTAGTTATTTGAACATTAAATCCTCAGACAGCATCAAAGTAGTGGCGTCCGTTTTGACAAACTCGACACACAGGACACCATGAACGCGCATCTAATGTAACCACTATAATAAAATAGTCGTGCGAGTAAATACCGTCAGAGCTCGCACGTATAAAAAAACGCACGGACCCGCCTCCAATGTAACCGCGGGCTTAGAGTTACAGGATGTTAAAACGTTTTAAAATTAGGTTTTTTGTAATTATTACCTTAATTTTATTATTTAAAATTGCTGTATGTTGGACTAACAGTAATAATATTTAGTAGAAAAGTAGGTAAAATAATTAATTTTTTAATTTCTTTTTTATTTTAATTTTATTAATTGTGATTAATAAAATTACGTTTATCTCATTAAGGAGGCCGAATTCGACAAAATATCAAGAGATAACTTTTAATTGGAATTAAACGTCCTACACAATTTTGATATCAAAAGAAAAAGTCAGTGGCACACATGTTTTATTTTTGAAAAATATTCTAGTGATAACCCATATGTACGGCCCTGATGAATTTAGCGACACTTTTTTAGCATTAAAATGTGTAGCACTTATAGTAATTGAGGCGTTTTTTGCAAAAATCCCATTTGTCATTAATAGCAACTTTCGAGAAAAGTAAAAAAAAGTTTTTTAATTGGATGTAAGTTTGATTAGAAAAATTTTAATATTAGTAGTTGATCAGTTTGATAATTAGGCACATTTCGCAATATAAATAATATCTTTTTTTTTCTTTCAGTTTTATTATAGGGGTCATTTTTGATTTGATATATGGGGTTTTTGCAGACAATTTTTATAGTTTTATAAAAAAAAGATATTTTTAAACATGAAACTAAAACATTTTTGTTGAATGATTTTTTCAAAATATCATTTTTATTCAAAACATGTATGTAGGGAAAATAAAATTAATAATTAATCTTCATCACTCATAGCACCTACTGATATCATCCTCATCTAAATCCGTAATCCGCTTGGACGGACAAGGTGATTCCGTGAATAGTCTGTTATAAAAGTTTTTGAGCTCGGTTTGATTAAAATATTCGGTTAAATCTTATGGGTTTTCTTTTTTTCGCTGAGGAATATCTAAACGTTTATTATTGAAGGATTTAAATTCAAATTCTTTGGGTATACCACGTTTATCTCTTATAAGGCATTTTTCCCAGTTATCTGTATAAGTCTGTCTTACCAAAACAACCCCAGGTTCACCAGTGGATGAGCAGACTTAAGGAAAAATTCCGATAATTTCGATAATAAGAGCTGATAGTTTCCCGTAAAAACAACATAAGTCAATGACATCTGTGTTTTTTCCTGAAAACGTACCTTGATATATGGGATTTATGCGGAATCAGCGATATTTTTGACGCTTATATCTTGGACTACTATCATTTTTGCGGAATTATTTCACGCAAGGGATGTAGTTAAATACTCCATCAATTTATAAATGACGTAAGTACATTTTGGAAAAAAGTATATATATTTATAGTAATATATATATTTTATAGTAACTTTTACCCTCAAAATTTAATTTGAAACGTTAAAAGTACTTGGAAGAAAATTATAATAAATCGAAAAATTATTAAGATTTGAACACCCTGCAGCTACGAAACAAAGCAGAATCGGACCTATGTTAATATGAAAAATAAATCTTATTTTTACGTGAGGAATCTCCACACGAGAGATGGCACATGTTTTTTGAAACACCCTGTATAAATCGGAATCTTGTGCGAAGCGAATTTTTGAAGAAATTTTACCCCCAACTATAATGTATCTAATATTGGATTTAAATAATGTATTAAAATAGCGAGATTTATTTTTTAAACATATCTGAACTTAAGTGATGGATTTATTATATTATTTGTAATGATACTTTTACATCATCATCATTATTCAACCATTTCCAATTATGGTGTAGACTCTCCCTTACAAATTCAAGTTATCCCTGCTAATTTTCTAATATCATGGTACCATCTCAGATATTTGGTCTTCCTCTATGTCTCTTAGTTCCTCGTGGGTACCATGCTGTAATTTTTGTGGTCCATCTGTTGTCCGTCCTTCTTGCCAGATGTAATGCCCATTGCCACTTGAAGGATTTGATTCATGTATTCATGACATCTAGTACCTATTTTTTACATGTATCTGTATTATTAGCCTTTATTATTTGTTAATATTATATGTAATTTGTTATCTAGAACACGTTGAAATTATTCATTCATTGTTCATACTTCAAATTAAAGCGGAAAAATTATAGGCCAGTAAACGTAGCCGAGTATTATATGTAAAGGTGGAAAAAATTAGTAACCAACCGATCTCAAGAAGGAATGTGTAGATAATGATCTTCTATTTAACCCCTCAAAAGTCCCATTCGGTCCCAGTGGGGAAAGTTTGAAAAAAACCGCCGCCATCTTGGATTTTTTCGTTTTTTTCAAATATCTCCGTTTGCATAACTTTTTTTGAACAAACTAAAGATATGATTTTTGTAGAGAATTAAATTTAGAATAGTCTACCTTCAATCATTTTTTCTCTAAAATAAATAGTAATAGAGATAGAGCAATTTTTTACTATACGTATTATAAATTTTCCAGTTTTTTAAGCTAATCAGCTATAATTTTTGCGTTAACAGTATAGTGTTAAAAGTGCTCTAAAAATTGCTCTTGTAGAAGACTGGGTCTTGTTCTTCAAAGTGTGGTCAGTGCTACGGAATCAGTTGCACAAACTTTTGTATTTTAGTTGAGGCCGAAAATGACGCTCAGGATGACGTCAAAGCAGATTTTATTTAATAACTTTAATTTAATACTAATTCTTTTAACAATAATTTTATTTAATGAATAATATTTAAACGTTATTTGTAACTGTTTTAATTCTTAAATTTTTACTTGGTATATATATTAACACTATACTGTTAACGTAAAAATTATAGCTGATTAGCTTAAAAAACTGGAAAATTTAAAAACGTATAGTAAAAAATCTCTATTACTATTTATTTTAGATAAAAAATGATTGAAGGTAAAATATTCTAAATTTCATATTTTCATATATTTTCATTTCATTCGCTGCAAAAAACATATCTTTAGTTTTTTCGAAAAAAATTATGCAAAGGGAGATATTTAAAAAAAACGAAAAAATGGCGACGGTTTTTTGCAAACTTCCCCCACTGGGACCGAATGGGACTTTTGAAGGGTTAAATAGGAGATCATTATCTACACATTCCCGTTGAGATCGGTTGGATACTAATTTTTTCCACCTCAACCTCCAGAATGACTGGCCTATTATAGCTAGCACATTATATGCTTCAAAAAAAAGTAGGTTACATTACATTGTCCATTTTCTAAACGATAACTTTTTATCATAAACACTTTACAAAACTATTTATTATCATAATAACTTCACATGTTATGTCAAGCAGCAAAAGTAATTAGAAAAAGTGTTTCTATACGTTGTGTAATTTAGTCCCTATAATTAGTAGCATTTACTTTTCTTTAGTTTTCAAACATTTAGAAATTTTGTTAGAGTTTTAAAATTTTATCTGAAAACATGCAGTTTGAATTCTTGGTTTCGGCTCACTTAAAAGGAATGGAAGTGATATACAATTGTTTTAATGAATTTTTTTCTAATTCTAATGAAGATATTTTCAAACGTAAAAATCAGTAAATGGCAATTATTGGTGTCACGATTTCATTGCCCTATACAGGGTGAGTCTTAAGTAAGTGTAAATATTTTTAGGGCTGGTAGATCTCGATAAAAGAAACATATTTTATCTTTACCGTTTTTCAAATAAATCCAAAATAACCGACTTATTTTACTTTGAAAATTTCCCAAAAAAAATTGCTTAAATTTTGAGAACCACTAGATCTTTTCTGGATTTTTTTTCTTGTAAATGTAATCTACTACCTATGTTGCCATATTATCAACAAATTATGTTAATTAAAAAAAATCCAAAAATTTTCTCAAAAAATTCCAAATTTTCAAAATTTAGTTTCGCGAAAAAAACCTCGTAATCGTAACTTCTGTGGTCAAAATATACTACCCCTAAAATATTTGCACTTATTTAAGCCTCACCTTGTATATATCCAGCATAAAAAAGACGCTGTATTTTTTACTACAAATGTCAATATAATCTGTATATCTGCATTTTAGGACAAATCAACGCTTACAAAAGAAACGTGGCAGTATGTAACTGACGATCAAGAGTATGTAAGGCATAAATAAATAAAGTCAAACCGTGACACGCAAAATCTTGTACTAAATTTTTAGATCGAAATTTTTAGTATTTTCTGCATATCTGGACGACCGAAAAACTGACAAATTTGTTCGAGTAATAGCTGTTGGAAGAACGCGAAATCCTACGCCCGTTTGGTGCAAGCTCTACTATAAAGCAGATGATCAAAATACTTATGGAACGAAGACAATTCAAGGTAACCATATGGTAAGCTTAAATTTAATGTATTGCTAGTATAATGTATTTTCTATTACCTAAAGATTATACCAAATGAACTTTTAGTCAGGTGATTAAGCTTGATCGGCACAGCTTTGCCCACTTTTATTTTCTTTTAATCAAAATGTTTTAGGAAACAAAAATAAATACAGGGTGGCGCACATCATTCGCCTCGGTTGATAATTTAAACAAAATTCTTATGGGTATATGCAGAGAGGCAATATGTGCATAATTTAAAATTATTTTCAAATCTATAGGGTGTATCAGAACTAAGATCCATACCAAAGTTATATTTTTTTTAATATAACACCCGGTATTTTATTTCATTTTCGGATTGGTCATAAAATAAAGCATTTGTTATAAGGGTTTAATATGTTTAAATGCTGTGGTTTTTGAGATATTTAAAGATATTTAAATATGCATGCTATAATAAAAAAGTTTGTCAACACCCTGTATATTAGTTTTCAGAGTTAATTCTTGTGCTGACTTTGAGGCCAGAGAAATCAACTTTACTACAAAATTTGACTGCTTCCTTAAATGTATATAGGGGTATCAAAAATTGCTGGTCTATTTTAAATATTTATTTTACAAAAAAACTTCGTTATTTCAAATGCAACACTATGTATTTTTTTTAAATAAGTCGAAGCAGATTTAAATGCCCTTTGAAACTATATTAGGGTTTCCTATACCTATATGGGTCAGATTTTGGATAAAAAGCGATTTTTCAATAAAATGGTAATCAAAATGGCTTGTGTCAAGCTATGGCAATTTGCTAATGACAGTTGGTAGTATTTTCAAAATCGATATTAGTTTATGGACTTTATTTAAATTTATAAGAGTTTACTTTTATTTAATTTACCTACAATAGTTTAATAGATAAGTATTTATTATTTTATCAAAAAAAATAAAGAAGTAGTTCTTTGATTTAAATTACGATTATTTTTTGTATTCAGTTGTAGATGTACTGGATTTTCTATAAAACAACCAATTAAGGTAAATCATTTTCTTCGCTTCCAACAACATCAGGTTTGCGAAATAGAAAAAGCAGTTTTTCAAAAGAACGCTTGTCAATAAAATTTCTATTTGGATATCTTTAATTAGTAGCTATTTTCAGGATCGTCATTAGTTTATGGACTTTATTTAAATTTATAAGAGAGTTTACCTTTATTTAATTTACCTACAATAGTTTAATGAGTAAGTATTTATTATTTTATCAAAAAAAAATAAAGAAGTAGTTCTTTGATTTATATTACCATGATTTAACTAATGTCGATTTTGAAAATAGCTACCAAGTGTCACTAGAAAATGTTCATGGCGACACCAGCCACTTGGTTACAATTTCATTGAAAAATCGTTTTTTATTCAAAATCTCAGCCAGATAGGTATAGGAAACTCTAATATACTTTGAAAGAGCATTTAAATCTGCTTCGATTTATTTAAAAAATTATATAGTGTTGCATTTGGAATAACGAAGTTTTTATGTAAAATAAATATTTAAAATAGACTTTTTTTAAATAAAAATAGCAATTTTTGATACCCCTGTATACATTTAAGGAAACAATCAAATTTTTTAATAAAATTTATTTCTCTGGCTTGAAAATCAGCGCAAGAATTAATTCTGAAAAGTAATGTACAAGGTGTTGACAAACTTTTTTATTATAGCATGCATATTTAAATATCTCAAAAACCAAAATCAAAAATTAAATAAAATACCGGGAGTTCTATAAGAAAAAATATAACTTTGGTATGAATCTTAGTGACACACCATATATAGGGTGGTCGAAATTGGTCTGTTTTAACAGGAAAAAACTATTTCCTGACTAGATAGAGCAAAACCGACATAGATGTCATGGGCTCGATTTCTGAGATACGTTTAATGGCATAAACCGCCTGTTGATATTTTTACTGCCAACTGAGATACGGGGTCTTTTTGATTTTTTTACCATTTTTAAAATTGCCCATAACTCTTTTATATAATTCGCGGAATAATAACATTCTGTAAAGACGTTCTTAAGGCACTATTTTAAGCACAATCCAGTGGCGTAGTCAGTCTTTTTCTATACTTGCTCTTTTTGTCCGAAATAATAAAAATATAATTATTTAAATGAAAATCATCATTGGCTATGAACTCAAAAAAATGCTGATGTTTAACCGTTTGCAACGACATAAAGTTATGGGTATTTATTTCTAACAATGAGAGAAATATTAGGGTTTTTTATCTTTGTATCAACGCGGACCTTGATTTTGTGTTGACCTACAATTGTTACTCGATTACTTACATTTTTTATCGCAATTTCATATTCTATATTATTATTTATCTGTAAAATTAAAGACTTTTGAAAACATAAATCAACATTCTATATTAGTTTTACCAGTGAAATTAAAACGCCATTAAATGGAGAATTTTGAGAGAATGGGATTGGAACAAGTGACCCCATATCTTGACCTGCTAGGTCCTGTGATTTAACTTCTTTCGATTTTTTTATGGGGAAAATTAAAAGACCTCATATATAAGGGAAGAACCATTGGGACGAGAGAAGAATTGCAGAATTCTACTAGGCAAGCTTTTGGACTTTCTTAGTGGACACCAGTTCGCTTAATAAATCGCTGTAACTCTGTGCGCAAGAGATGTTTTATTATGTATTCAACAAAGAGGTGCTCGGTTTGAACATCTTAGATGATTTTTTTTAGAAAACTATATTCGTCACTCAGAAAATACGTTTTTTAGCTTTGTTCTTTGTTTATTGTATCGATTTCAATTGTAATTACTAAAACTAATAGATAGAATGTTAATTTATGTTTTCAAATGTCTCTAATTATGCAGATAAATAATAATATAGAATATTAAATTGCGATAAAAAATAATTAGACAACTAGGTCAACACAAAATCAAGGCACACTTCGATACAAAGATAGAAACCTAATATTTCTCTCATTCTTAGAAACAGGTACGCATAACTTTATATCGTTCGAAATGGTTAAACGTCAGCATTTTTTTAAGTTCATAGCCAACTATGATTTCCATTTAAAAAATTATATTTTTTAATATTTCTGACAAAAAGAGCAAGCATAGAAAAAAACTCACTACGCCACTGGATTGTGCTTAAAAAAGTGCTTTAAGAACGTCTTTACAGAATTTTATTATTCTGCGAATTAAAAAAGTTATGGGCAATTTTGAGTGGGTTCAATGGGCAGTTGGCAGTGAAAATATCAACAGGCGGTTTATGCCATTAAATTGGACTGCACGGTCTGCTTTAAGTTTAAAGTATCACAACACAATTTATTTAAACAAAAAAACTCGTAATACAAAACTAAAGTGGCAAAACGAATCACAATGTCAGGAAATAAATAAATAAATGTGGCATTTTTATAGCAGAGCTACCACCTGAATCCCCAGCGGGTAATTCAAATTCTAGTTAGTCGGTCCGGCGCCCAATATGTCCATGGTTGGCAACAATGAATTTAAAAATCGCGCCCTCGATTACGTAACTAATAGTTTAAATGGTGTCCCTTATATATCACTATTTTCTGGGCACATATTGTCTTTATATGTACTTACTATCTGTATAAAATAGAATCGGATATTACATTATGTAAAGCCTCGTGTCCATTTGCAAGGAAAATTAACACAAAAGGAAACTGACACCCCCTCCACTGATTTTGCAATTTGATTTCGTTCCTATTACAACACACTTAAATTTTAGTTTTATCTGAAAACATATTTCTATTTCTAGTGTCCCTTTGAGACAATAATATTACTTTTATTAATTTCAGGTGATATCAGAAAATTGGGGCCTTAAATACACTGCCCGTTATGTGCTTTGCCCAATAGATACGACTAAAATTCTACCTGATGCTGTAAGCATTTTAACGAACCCAGACAAGGAACCAATGAATATTCTAACGGTCATTGTAAATTCTAAAACACCAGTAGATTGGGACGTTTTTAATTTACCTAAAAAAATTGACAGTATTGCCGTTTGTGTTAAACCGCTTCACAATGAATATAATAAGGTAAGAAGTCATATTATTGAGTATAATAAACAAATGGCTATTTAGTACATAAAGAGTGATGTTCATAATATTAGAAAACATATTTTTATGACTTATGATACAGCGAAAAAAATGTCTACATATATTTTATGAGAAAGTATTGTAATTTTACCTGGATATTTCCATTATAGGCCAGTCAAATCAGATCTATTATAGTGATCACTTGGAAAAAAGTGTTGGAAAGCTAATTATGGTTTTGATTTGTTCATTTGACATGAAAGATAATTATCTTAGTTTTGCACGGTTGCTCGACCGCCGCTCGATTCAGGAGGACCAAAAGATGGTAAAATTCTTGGACTTTTCTCGGATGTTTGCCTTAGGTCCGAAACATTGCGTTCTAAGCAATATTTCACTATTACCAAAAGTAATTAAAGACCATTAAATTCTGCGTATAATGAGTATCAATTCGTCTAATTCGGTCCAGTAGTATGGCAGAAATCGAAAGATGAAGAATGGTTATATTTACCAATTTTGCTGATAAACGCATTAAAGTGACATTTACAATGGAAATGATCGTTCTAAATAATAAATCATACAATGAAAGTTGTAGAGCATCAAATTAGTATTTTACGTCAAGCAATATATGCTGAAGAAATGAAAATGTTTGTGCTCAACTCTCCATGAAATTACTTCAGAAGTGGTATTCTGAATTAAACTAATACACACATATACCACATTTAATTAACATTAAAATTATTATATACTAAATTTCGCTAACATTACATAACATATACGAAGTATTCTTCTAAAGCCACAATCATGATAATGTCTATATCTTCATGGGGTTTAGGATCTATATCTTCATGGTGGTTAAATCGCCATTGGAATAGAAATCTAAAAAATAGAAGTTTTTTATTGTAAAATATCACTGCGTCTAATCCAGACGGAAACTATCTTGTCAGTAACTTTTTACTTGTAAAACAAATTTGCCGACTTGTGCCGGAATATGTAGGTGCTTGTATATCCGAAAGGGCGTTGATGAGCTGCAGCTTCAGTGAGGGGAAGGGTTGCTATCTTCATGTTTGTCTTGGCTACTACTTTGGCGAAGATATCGTATCTTATATCGTCTAATGAGGTATGTTTTCGAGAGTCACCATAAATGGATACAAGAAATTTTATCTCGGCAGTATTTATCTCGTCAGCACAAACATTATTATTTCAGAAGATGAGCGCAGCATCTTGTAAGTCTAAAACACCAGTTTTTGTCCAAAGTTCATCCAAAGTCCAACTTTATTTTCCCTACTGATACAATGATGACGTGGTATCACATCCACTGAAAGCATGCAGGCACAGAATGTTTGATTTTAAACTCTCCGAGTATTTGAAGTGTCTGGAAGAGTACAAATTATTTTCCTTCGCACCCTTCCCTGGCTTCATTAGTGCAATCTTTGAGGTGGTAGGTGCTATATAATGCTGTGAGCAGGACCAAGGTGATAAGTCAATTGCAGTTATAAGAATTAGTCTATCAATACAACAAATCCATCTAGCTTTTTATGGACGCTGCTAATTAAATGTTTCTTATTACGGTCGTTGGATAAGAAATGTTCTTTTGAAGTGGCAAAACTGATAAAAATAACTATTTTTAAGCATCAATCTTAGCTATACTCTATACTACTGGACCGAATTGAACAAATTGATAATCATTCTAGGCAGAATTGTTGGACGACGATACGCTAAAATTTTTGTTTTCTCGGTATGTATATTGTTTTTTTGATATAAAAAGCGAATTTGACGCCCTGTAACTTTTATTGTATGGTTTATTATTTAGAATGATAGTTTCCGTGTGACGAACGCTTGAATGTCACTTTAATGCATTTATCAACAAAATAGGTAAATATCACCATTCTTCATCCTTCAATTTCTGCCTTACTACTGGACCGAATTGAACGAACTGATATCTTTATACGTAGAATTTAATAGTCTTTAATTTTTGTAATAGTGAAATATTGGCTAGAACGCAAAGTTGCGGAATTATAGGTGAAAATCTGAAAAAAGTCCAAGAATTATGCCATCTTTTGGTCCTCCTGAGTCGAGCGGCGGTCGAGCAACCGTGCATAACTAGGATACTCATCTTTCATGTCAATTGAACAAATCGAGACCATAATTAGCCTTCCAACACTTTTTTCCAAGTGAACCCTCTAATTTGATTGGCCTATTATTAATACTGCAGGTTCTGTTTAAAATTGGAACATTAAGTTTGATTTCTTAACAAACACCTACATTTTAAATGAACATATTCCAAACACGTTTAAATTTAAAAAAGAATCCGTTCAAACTTCTCCGCAGTTCCTGTAAGACATTTGTAAAGATATAAGACACAAAACATGAAACGTACTTAAAATTTGAAGCAAAATTAGAAAACAAAATAAAAAGCATGCATTTTTATTTGGGAATATAAAATTAACAATCTTTATTTACAATTATTTTTGGACTTACTCAAAGTACATTTACTCCAGAGTTGTTTGTGACAAAATAAATTAATAATATCGTATTACATGACTGAACTCAAGGGGGGGGGGGGTGATTTATGCTCCCGAAGCCCCTCCTGTGGATCCGCCACTGTTTTGTCGTAGCAATAATTCAAATATAAGTTTAGTTTTTAGTTTATATCTTGATTTGACGATTTTATTTACTGATTTACGTAATAGAGCAATGATATTAATATTATTCTACAGATTGTAACATTTAACTAATCAGTGTTCCTCATTCTACAGAACTTATAATTTTACTACATTAAAATATCTTTTTCGTAGAGATGAACAAAACCGCGATTCTCCAATCGCAATTGAAACTGGGATTGCAATTTTTAAATCGCAGCGACTGTAACCTGCGATTGCGATATTAATATTTAAATATTGTACTAGGCATATAATTGTCGGTGTATGTACCTATAACCCTTGTATATATAAACAAGGCTATAACTTAACAGTTCAAAAGAGTTAATAAAAATCAGTTGTTCAGTACCTATTTAAGTTTTTTTTAATATATGCAACACATAACTACATATTATAGATAATTAAAGCTTCATATAGGGTGGTCCGAACTGTATTCCGGAAACTTCGGCAGCACATTCTGCAGATAAAAATAAGTAAAAAAGTTTGTGTAAATGTATGTCCTAAAATGCTTAGTTTTGGAGATACAGGGTGTAGAAATTACAATTTTATTTCGACTTTTTCCAAATAATTTCTGAAGTAACGTAAATATTTGGATGAAAATTGGTGTCTGGGACTTTTTTGACACGACAAATTTGATTTCCATGTCAATATGACTCCTACTTGTAGAGAGCGCCACCTACATATTTTTAACTGTTTTGAAGAGTAATAACTTTTCGTCCGTACCTGTATAAAACAACTGAGTAAAAAAATACGCATTTACAACGTTTTTAATGTAAAAAATGTCTCTTAGTAAAAATCGCTACGAGTAATGGTTCTCGAGATATTTGGAATCGAAATTATCAAAACCTGTCATCTTTGTCATAAATTAAGCATGTTGACTAAATAGTTATTAAATCATACATTTGAAATGTTTTTGTGCTTAAAGTTCTTCATCATCATTTTTTTTCAGAAAAATTTAAGATTAATTAAAAAAAATAAAAAGTTCCCAAATTTATCATTTCAGTCAAATATCTGTCTACTCAACATGCCTATTTTTTGTCAATAATGACATGTATTGACTATTTCCATTCTAAATATCTTGAGAACGGTTGTTCGTAGCCAGTGGCGGATACAGGGCCATGGGCCCGGGCCCCCCTAAAGTCTTTGAAATGTATAAAATATTAGGCTTTTGGGTTAAAAATGGCGCCCTAAAAAGCATATTCTACATTGCTTTTCATTTTGGGCCCCCCTAAAATAAATTCCTGTATCCGCCCCTGTTCGTAGCGACTTTTACCAAGAGACATTTTTTACGTAAAAAATCACAGAAATGTATATTTTTTCACTCAGTAGTTTTATACAGGTACGGACGAAAAGTTATTACTCTCCAAAACAGTTAAAACACATGTATAGTCTGTCCAACGAGAAGATCCTTAACAGCGATAGATGTGTCTGTCATTTTAATTTCAAAGTAGTTTATTTTATTTTACAAAGAAATAAGTTGGAACAGCTGGAACGCATAGCAGGAAATTATTATATTTAAAATTTGACTGACAAGTGATTAGTTCAAAATATTGTGAAAAAAACTGTATAAAACTGAAAAAATGTAATCGAGTTATTTAATTTAATAAAAAACGGTATGTGTTAATACAAAACAAACAAGAACAAGACACCACATACCAAAAAAATATAAAAAAGAACTATTTCTTACTTTCAAGCTTTATGAAACTTCCCGCATTTATGATTATATTTATCAATATAAATGATGTACAAATACAAATTTGTAATATTCCGCAGTAAATAAAACAACATAAATAAAACAAACTATTGTATTATTAATAACACTTACCAAATTTTAGAGGTACCTTAAAGGTTGATTAATTAATTTTAATCTTAAATTTTTAAACCAGTACCTTTTGCATTATTTTTCTTGTGCAGTACTAAAATCCATTATTTACGTATCGTGTGATGTCGATATTTTACAGCTACTCCAGTTTTTAGTATGTGTTTAGTATGGTCCTTCTACCATATTCGAGATGCACTTATCTACGACGAGATGGTATACGAACTTTAATGATGGTAACTTTATTGGTGTATAAGACTTTTTGCCTGGGCAGCGAGTATTAACCATAACTGTGCTCTGGGTCTACAGTTAATTTTCACTCGATTTTTCCTCCACTTGACTTCAAAAGACACAAAACACACGTAATAACACGAATCAAAATGCATCATCTTCAAAAACGCAGGGTATTTGACAAAACTGACAAAAGTTAACACAAAATTATAACCTCTAATTTGGCAAGACTTTAACAAGCGTGGACAAGCGTCAAAAATCTAAAGGCGAGTTCATACGCATCGGCGTCCGTTTGTCGTTCATCGTTTCGTCAAACCAATAAAATTGAAATACGATCTGTCATTTTTGAAATAAACCAATAAAACTGGTTAAAACCGCACGACGGATGACGGATTTATATTTAAACCCATCCATAGTTAACTTAAAAATTATTAGAAACTTTTTTTAGTAAAATAAATAGATTGGTATGGGACGTCATTTGCTTTTCTTCTGTCATCGTCTGTCGAAATCTTACCTGAGGAAAAAAAACAGAGTATAGATATCGCCCTGTACAAATAGGAGTCATATTGACATCAAAATCAAATGGCTCATGTCAAAGAACTCCCAGACACCAATTTTCATCCAAATGTTGACGTTATGTATAATGTTCTGAACAATTTATGTCATATACTAATATACCAAATCTCGTTTTTTTATCAGAAATATAAAAATTATAGGGGGGAACCACTCTTGAGAAACACCCGGTATACTCGTATCATTGATCGTGGCCTTAGAAAATAATACCTTCTCTATAAATAAATAATATCAGAGAGAAAATTGAATCGCAGTTCAATGGACCACAAAATTACATTCGCAACAATATCGCAAATCGCAACTCCTAAAAATTAAAACTCGCAGATGTACTGTCCCAGTTTACAAAATTACAATCACAACAAAATCGCAAATCGCAGCTATATACTAAATAATACTGGTAATACTGGTTGCCTACATTGAAACTCGCAAATAGAAGAAATCGCCATCGCAGTTTCCTATGAGAGCCAATCGCAGGTTGCGATTGCGACTTTAAAATCGCTGCGATTGGATCGCAGTGGTTTGCGATTGGATCGCAGATTTTTTGCTTATCTCTACTTTTTCGTATAGGAAATTGAAATAATGGAATTTATTGAGCTCCATCGCCTACTAGGAGTGAATCATTTTTATTTCTATAATCACACTCTTGGGTCACAAGTCGACTGTTTATTAAGGAATTACATCAGTGAAGGAGTCATCACGGTTTTAGATTGGCAATTGCCAATTATATCACAGAAGGAAATAAGAACGGAAGGAATTTTCGCTGCTCTCAATGACTGCTTATACAGAACGATGTGGCACCACTCCCATGTACTGTTTATAGACCTGGACGAATACATTATGCCAGAACAGGTGGATACTTACAAAGAACTGCTAGAGTAAGTAGTATTAAAAACAACCATTCGGCGTTCGGTAGTTTTTTCCTCGAAATAATGTTAAATCATCAATTATAAAAGTGTATGCTGCTTTATGCGGCAGTGGCCGGCCGTAACTCCAGCGTTAGGGCAGGCGGCCAACACAAACTAAGCTAAGAATATGAAAACAAACGGTACCTAAATGGGAACTCCACTGGGAACGATTTTCGCTCAGTAGTCAGCTAAGTTTTCGTATTGTATCTCTGCTACCATAGAACTAATCGCTGCGAAAAATTCGCTGGAACCTGTCACGAACTAAACCGAGCGATACTAAACTACGATTCGAATCTTCGTTCATATATTTTCGTTTTGTTTCGCTCAAGTAGCCGCTGACGCATTAAAAAGTATGGAAGCTGATTTTTACAAATCTTATCTTCGCTTAGTTTAGTTTCGCTCGCAGTGGCCGCCTGCCTTTAGTGTGTCGATCTGCGGAGCGGAAGGTACTGGGTTCGATCCCCAGCCAGTCCGGTCGCTTTATTTATTTAAATAAAAATATTTATTTATCTAAATAGAGCTACCAACGAGCCGCCACCTCAAGGAAGGCAATGGCAAACCACCTTGAGTATATTTGCCTTGTACAGCCTCTCAAATAGTGTCGTTTGGATTCGGCAATAAACTGTAGGTCCCATGTACTTGTGAAACACTGATGACACACATCACAAGTACATGCGAGAGGTAGCCGACGCTCTATACGGAGTATGGCACTGTATAAGAAGATGCTGATTTAAACTTATTTTTAATGCCAATTTCATATCTCTTGAATGCACTCCACTTAAAAATTACAGTATTAGCTTTACAGTGAATATGTGTTCAAATTTGAGGTAAAACTTCTTACTAACAACTATTAAATTGAAGGATTTGAACGACATATTTGTAGAAGTATAGTTTGAAATGTTGAAAAAGTAATAAATTAAAAATTAATAAATAATTTGATTCGCTTTGATAAAATTTGTATTAAAACTGGTGATGGGAAAACCCGATTAATTTCAATAATCGAGCACTCGAGTATCAAGCGATTGCAATAACAGAGTGATCACTCGTGCGAAATATCGCTCGTATTTAAAAATACGGTTTTTTGTCCGTCGCATGTTGTAAGTACTCGTTAACGCCAAGCGCCAAGCAGCAAGCTGCGTGCGCAGGGCACATATCCTTTCGGTAATGAACGGCAAGTACACGGTGCAAAAACTTAAATGGCAGGATTTGGAACAAGAATTGCCAAATCCTGCTGTCAGAGGGCGCCACTGTCGATTTAAAAATACGTGGGCGGAGTAAGAGGGAAGGAAAAGTTTCTGGCCCGCCACCCGTCTCATCATAATATTTCGTCATTTTTCCCGGCAGCCATCAGTGCCTAACTTTGTCTAGAGCTGAGAGGTATGTGTTTTGTGACTGTGAGTGTCGTAGTGTTCATTCCCAAAGTAAAGACGTTTTATGTTGTGTGCCCGGCCTTTTATAGTGTATTATTTTAAATTAAAAACTTTTTATTTTGTGTATCCATTTAGAGTGAATTATTCTTTATATGTAAGTACCTAGAAATTAGTTTATAATAATATAACCTGCTCGATAAAAGCTAGGTTAGGTTAGGTTAATTGTACCTTGGAAATGGCTATCGATGTAAGGAAGATTGATATTCATTAATTGGTTAGATTTACTAATATAATTTACATTTTAAATGCCATCAATTGTCATTCCTAAGGTGGCTTGATGCAGCTTTTCGTAATCGTATGGTACAATATGATCGAAAAAAAAACGGCGTCACCGTTGGCTATGAAATAAATATCGCTGTCATTCTCTCTCTATATGTAAAATTATATGAGGAACGTCATCGACCGCGTCATTTCCAAGCCAACTTGACTTCGTTTTTTCGATCATACGGTATTACTTTAGTATTACCATGTACCTAGGTATAGAAATTTAGAAAACAAAAAGAATACAAAAATAGTTGTATATATATATATTTTATCCGAGCAATAATTGTAATGTTTAATTTTTAGTTGCCTATAAATTTAATGAGCCGCATTTGTATTGTAAAATTTCGAAATCTACAAAAAAAGAAAAAATAAATAAAAATTTATAACAAAAAATAAATGATTTTTATTATAAACTTCCTTGTAATATCTGGTATATAATCAATTCACATGTGTTATTAATCATACACCTATTATTAAGTTAAATCTGATAGTACTTTTTGATTTTGGTATAGAAAATATTGTAATGTGATTTTTACCGCATGTGTATTGTTTAACAATTATAGACTAGATATTTGTTTGGCAAGTATATTAAATCAAACATCTTTTACAACATATTTTTAAAAAAATATATTGTATAAGATGTTTATTTAAATTTACTTGAAACAAATTATCTGGCATAAAATCATCCTAGTTTAAATATTGTATGATCGAAGAATACGGCTTCAAGTTAACTTAGAAATGACTATTGATGACATTAACCATATAACTTTACAAAGAAAATGTTATCGATCGTCATTTTTAAGTTAACTTGGAATCGTTGTTTTTCGAACATACGGTATATTAAATTAATTAGGTGTAATATAATACTATAGATGGCGCTGCTAAAATTGCTTTGAATGCAATGCAGATTTCTTTTTAAAATTTAATTGCAGATTTCTTTTTTTAAATTTAATTTGTAGTTCTAAATCCGTGTCATAGATGGCGTATCAAAATGTTGTCCTAATTTTTTGTACGGAAGATTTCGTTCTGTTTTAATCTGTTCTGTGGGCAAGTAGTTCGCCTGATTCAGTTTATTTCGAAGCATTGTCGATTTAAGTTGTAAAATTTTGTCCCTCAGATACGCAACGGATCATAGACTTAAAATAAAATATAGACTGCACTATTTACATCTAAACGCGGACAAACAATCTTTTTTGTACACATGTTTACTTCTGGGTACAGTCGACCGAGCCTTCCTCATCCAGCCTATGTTGTCACCTCTTTAATATTATCAATATTTTTTTTCTTATTATACACATATATTGAGATATTAATACTACATTTTAATAAAGTAGGTTTTAATATTCCATAGATGTATTAAATAGTCCTTATACTACTAAATTATAAGTCGGATACTATTTGAAAAGGATAAGTTCTTTACAATATGGCAACACCGATTAGAGGCGAGGTCGCATATGCATTCATTCAGTGTTACCAACTCCGGGATTTTATCTCTAAATTTGGGGAGAAAAAATCTATATGGGGATTTTTTTAGGGAGTAAAATTTTTTGGGGATATTTTTAAGGATAAAATTTCAATGGAATTTTACCGCTACCAAAGAGGAGATAAGACCGCTACTGCTATTTTTCAAAATTAATAGGAAAGTATAAATAAAACAAAATAATTTATTTATTTTAATCACCGAATCTTGGATAACAGTTGTGGGGATTTTAGTTGTTTAGATTTAAGAAGGTTTGATATTGCTTTAATGGAAAGTTTCGAACAGTTGGCTCCATTGCTGTGATAAGACGTTTCAAGGTCAACCACTTAAAACACAACAAATTGTTTATTTATTATTATTTATATTTTTAGGTTTTTTTCGGGATATTTTTTTAGGGTTTTAGGGATATTTTGGGGATTTTGGATGCGAGCGTTTTAGATTTTTAGGGAGATAAATTTTTGAGAGTTGGGAACACTGCATTCATTTATTAACTTGTAGTACGTGTCGCACGTGTGCGGTCATTTGTGCGGTAAAGCTTTGTTGCCGCTATCTCCCCGGCTGTATTAACGCATTTGCTTAGCTTGTAGTCCTTAAGTGTTTATTTTATTTACTTTTTCTGTTCAAGAACTATAAAATATGGTTCGCCAGTGCCAAATTTGCAAGAAATTTGACTTAAATAATGCATTTAAGTCTTGAAACGACTTTCGACCGGTAGGCAACTCTCAATTTATCCATTGGGAGTCAGTGGCGTTGTTATAGAAAGGCGCTTATTTAGATAATATTTTAGTAAAATGTAATATCTGATTTTTTCTCTTACATAATCATTTATATAAAGGTTTTTGTAACAAAATCATAATTAGTATAACCCTGTTAATAATTGAGGCAATCCCCGGAAAAAGGGACTATATGCCAAATGGCAGTTTTGAGAAAAACGCTATTAAAATTTTAACAAGTCTAAAAACAAAGGTTTAAATTTTGAACTTTATTGAAAGTTGGAATGAAAGTATTGTACCTAAACTAAAGTTACAATGAGTTATTTTAAGATATAGATATATTTTTATGCAAATATGTATATTTTTAATTGGCTTGTTATGAGCCCTTTTTCGGCAGAACATTTTCGGAGATGCGAAATGAGTTTTTTTTGGGGAATAATGACTTTTTTTAGACGGAATAGTTTCCAAATGCGCTTTGAGCAATAATTCATATATATTGGAATCCAATTTGTGGGATCTGTTAGCATGTATCCCTCGCTTTTCTATAAATGTGTCCTCCTCAATTACTTTTTTTGTACTACACGAATACGCTTCACAGATACTTGAAAAAGTTTTTGAATCATGGTCCGACATGATTTTATTTTGTCACCGTTTTAGGACATGGAATATTTCCATGTACACCTTCGTAAAACTTTGGGACTGAGCCAACAAAAAGTCTTGTTGAGACTTTGATTGTAAATAGAATTGTTCAAATAAGTGTTTTTGATCATCGATACTTAAACGAGCAAAACATTTTTCTTGGCAACATTTTGTGATCACCTGAAAAGACTTAGCTGCAACACCACGACCTGCCGAGGTGACGTACATTTTCCCAGATTGTCTTTTAAGTTTTCTTGTTTCTCGCGTCACGTTAATCTTCTTACATCTTATCGATTTATGTCTAACTACTTCCTCTTCAGAATCCATTCTTAAAACCTCACTAAAGTGACTAAACACACTGAAATGCTAACGGCAAGCAAATCAACAACTAACGAAAACAATTTTTTTTTGTTAAAACGACCCTTAAACGTTTATTTATAGAGT